ATTTGCTTCTTTGAACAGGTAGTTTATACCTCAGCACAGCATCTGTGAAGGCCAGGATGGAAGGAGAGGGGGGCGTCGTGGGAAAAGATGTTGGCTATCTCACACTGTGCAAAAGGATGCATGGCTTCTCTCCGAAGAAAGAAAAATGTGTGGAATGAGCAAATGAACCCAGACTGGTGACCGGCTGGCATATTTTTCTACTTCAGCTAAAAATGACTTCAAGGAGAGGAGTCTGACAAAAATAACTTTTGTCTCACAAAGTTTGTAATTGAAGAAAGTTTTCCCTTCATTGAACTTGAGCTCCTCTTTGTGTTGTTAAACCGTATTTATTTTCCATGATTGGTCCTTTGGCACTTGTTTGATAGCTTCTTCTGTATAAACCTCATCGCTTCAACATGGCTTTGCTTTTCTGGGGTAGGAAGCAAATCTTCTACTGGGCTGCTGTGATGGTTTAAAGTAGTAATTGCTTGGGCCTTCCACCCTGCCAGCAGCTGTATTTGAGTAGAATTTTGCATCTGAATCACTGAGTAAAACGTGTAATTAACATGACTAAAGGAAGAACTCTGGTCTTTGAAAATTCTGGTCCTCAGTTTATATATCTATAAAATGAAAGAATTAGAAACACACGTCTAAGGGACCTTCCAACTCAGACAGTCTAGGGTCCTAAAAATCTCCAGCTATTACTATAAACCCTCTTCCTCTACCAAGTTCTTATGAGTCCTAATGGATCCTTTCTTTTACTTCTATACCTTTCTGTGAGGTTTTGAAATTTATCAGAAGTGAAGGGTACATTAACCTTCTTGCTTCCACTACTGTGACAATGGAGGCCAGATCCAGTTGGTGTCTTTGAGGATAGAAAGTGCGAACAAAATAAGTTGCAATAGGTGAGCTCCTCTACTTCCGTAATGGGACTGTCAGGTTTCTATGTGTACCTGTTTAGGCCTGGGAAGCAGATAATAGTAAAATAGGCCCAGAGATCATTAGAGCATGGGCATCTGGAGTTCAGGGATTGGGCCTTATCCATTTCTCTCCTCGAGATAACACACTGCACAGAGAATGTGCTAATTAAACGGTGGAATTGAAGATAGACAACTAGGAGTGTTTCAGAGAACCAGCTCTAAGGTGATTTAAAAGATCATTTTTAACCTATTATAAAAGTTTTACAGAACTAGGCTTATTCAGTCTGAAGAACAGAGAATTGAAAGGGTGTTTTAAGGTGAATGAGAGTCTCTCTGATGGATTTAAGTTTAAGTAGGAAATTATATACATCAATACGTTGATGGGAAACAGAAGCTGAATGCATAAGAAATACCCTGGGACTCAGAATCAGATGAAAGAAAGGGATTAATAGGTGAAGCAGAACATAGAAGATTCCAGCACCTCCTCTGTGCTAAAGATTTGCTCCTCTGGTTTTGTATATGTCCAGAGATCATGGTGTTTATCCTCCCTCTTTTTATTCTCTTCCACTAGTGGTTCTTGACTTGATGATCTGATTAAACCTGGTTGTACTTTTTATCTTATGTCCTGTTAACTTCATCTATTTCTATCAAAAACATTTAAAAATTGCTTATAAGTGTTGAATAAAATGAAAAAATATATAAAGGCTCTAACAGTACCCAGTAAGCGTTATGGTACATAATAGGGACTTAACATTTGCTCAGTCGGACAGAGCCTTCCAGCATACAAAACATTTTTTCAGTCATTATCCTCTTGTCCCTCACGAAATTGTTGTTACCTGAAGATGAGAAAGGTGGTGTGAAATGCCCAAAGGCACAGAGGTAGCGAAAGCCAGGGTTTACACTCAGAGTATGATGTTGGGAAGAGAGCTACCAAAAGTCTTTCTTTGCTAAATAATTTGATTTGGCATTCTTTACCTGGGACTATACTCCCACATTGATTAATTTGACCAAAGCAGCTCAGCGAGAAAGACCCAATCTTCTTACCCTGACAACATAACATTTTTGTAATTTCCCCCTACCCTTCTAGTGCTAACTTATTTTCCTATAATCTCATAATTGCTATTGTTGAGAGTATATAAAAATTTACAGTTCCTTTTGAGACAGAGATTTTCTTTCTGACCTTTAGCTAGGATCCCTGGGCAGGTTTTTTGCCCACAGATCATGGCAGGCTCCACAGGGCAATTCTTTTAACTCTGTGTCTATTGGAAATAAAGCCGGCTATGTTGTGTAATGGCAGGAGCTTAACTTTGAATGTATTTTGTGACTATAGCCCAGGATGGTGAAAAGAACCCTAACTGAAGTCTTGAGAGACCAGGGCTCTCACCAGCTCAGCCCTGCCTGCTGCGATGCTTTGGGAAAGTTTTAGTCCTTCCTGAGTCTCAATTTTCTCATCTCCACTCATCTCCAGAAAGAAGACACTGGGCTATAGCTTCCAAAAGCCCTTCTAGCTCTGACATTCTACAGTTTATAAACCTTAAACTACTCTTCCACCACATGGTGGCTGATATGTGCTTTTCCATGTTTGTAAAATAGCGTGGTAGGTGCTAAAGTTTCCGAGGAGTGATGGGATAACACTGGGTGTAGGCTTTGCAGCAGAAGATCTGTTCTACTTAAGGAGGCTATTTTGATACCCCTAAATTACAGAAGCCATAATCCAGAGGCTTCTTATGGATGCTGTATGTCCTTGACAGGGTGAATGCTAGCAGCATCATGACCATAGCTGTCTACACCATTTACACAGTTACTGAAGTCATGGAATATCACCACATCGAGACACCCTGAAGGACATATGGGGAAACTGAGATTCAGAAAGAGAAATGAGCTTGCCTATAGTCGCATAGTCATACAGCATTAAGTGTCAAAACGAAGACTAACACAGCACTCCCTGACCTCCTGTTCACTGCATTTTTTACTCTACTCTTGTCACCTCGGATGACCACTCTCATGGTAAGCATGAGTAACAGTTTAATAAAGCATTCCCAGTCATAAAGGGAACTATATTGTCTGCACTTGCCCTAAGGAGACATTTGACAGAATATGATAGGTTTTTATACGACTCTAGTACTAAAAGTTTTGCTGAGAAATACCACCTTAGTTTTACCTTTGGAGAGACTGCGTGGTTGTAGATTTCTCTTCCCATCTATCACCTTTGGAGCTCAGGAGAGAAGGTTGGCTGAGCTTGTATGTTTAGAAGTATACTACATCTCTGAGAAAGGGCATTGCCACACTCAAATTGATTAATTATTTAGAAATAGGGCCCCTCTTGAATTTCATGCTTAAACTTCATTTGAGGTTTCCCTAAAGTGAAAGATATAAACTGTATTTACTAGGAAAGCTATCTTGGAAGATTTTCATTGCCTTTGAATAAAAGCAAAATTGCACCCAGCACATAAATTGACATATGAAGCGTAAATAGTTGTATCGTGCAAGTTGTTTTGAGGGACTCAAGCCAGAATGCTCCATTAACTAGCATGCATAGAATATTCATTGAGCTTAGGGCTTATTACCAGGCCAGTGGAAAAAAAAAAAAAGAATGAAGGAAAGTACAGGGGGGGAAGATAAATGTCAGTATAGCAGCTGAGAAAATGAAGCGTTAGAAAGGGAACTTTAGAGGTATTTATGATGTTTTTATTTTCCTCTCTCTTCTTTTTCTTTTTTCCCCTTCCTTGGCAAAGGATTAAGTACAAAAAAGGTGGGTATCAGCCTTCAAATATAATCATCAAGAATCTGAGAACTGAGCAGCAGAATGAGCCAGGCTCTTTTCTTACTTCCCTTCTGAAAGAAGAAGCTGAGGAATCAGCCCGTTGGGGTGTTATATGCGTACGTGTGAGATTGTGTTTATCGACATTTCTACACGGATAAACATTCAGAAACCACAGTGACATTCCCAGAGGGATCCTGTCTTTAATACAGGAAGTGACAGCTTTGTGAAGGCATCACAATTGAGCTCTGGTTTTCCCTTGAGGTCTGGTTTTTCCTTCTAGATCCCAGGATTTAATTTCTAGAAGAAACGAGAGCTCTGTGATGTTCCATGGGTCTGCTTAGAATTACAGGCAACTTAGTTTTAAAGCTTGTTGAATACAAAGCACCTGAGCTAGGCTTAATCTCCAGGGACCTCTTTTGCATTCAGAGATGTCTAAAACCATAAACCATAAATTCTGATGGGTACATGCAAAAGCAGAGGCCACAGAAATTACAAATTTGTTATCCAGTGTGGCCACATTCCCCTGCCACAACTTTCCTCCCATCACCACTCCCAAGCTGACTTTCTCTTGCTCTGTACTTGGGTTTACCAGATGACCAGGCTTGCGCTATAACAGATGGTTACTGCCTCCTACAAAATGTGGGTCAGGGACTGTGACCAGGCATAGTCTTCCTATGAGCTCTGACGTGCTTGTTGCTGCAATTTTGGTAGAAGGAATGTGTGCAGAGAATAGAGAACCATGAGACATAGAAGCTGAGGTCACAGGGTATTTTGAATTGGTCATCAACCCTCTTAAAGATCAGGCATACCCTCTTGGGAAGGTCCCAGTTCTTCCCAGTTCTTGGGAAGTCCCAGTTCTTTTCTCAGTCATTTCTTGCTTGAGTTTACTGCTTAGTGGATACTGTAGTTGTAGTCATCTTCCTTCTCCTCGAAACTGTCTCCCATGTTGATGATGTCTTCCATGTTTCAGTTCCTGTCCCACCACTTGACTCTTCCTTCTTCCTTCCTCTTTTAACTTTGACCACCAGAATATTGGCATGAGTTCAGTAATTATATTTCCAGCCATGGCCTCTGTCCAGGGCACCAGAGTCACATTTCCAACCAGGCATTTACCCACAGAATTCTCAACAACCTCTTGAACTCATCATGTTTGAAACCAAATCCACACTTTTCTTCTCACCTCCTAAATTCCCTGGAGCAATTTAACTAGTTGGTCAGCCAATTATCTCAGCATCAATAGAAAGGCTGACTGGGGCATTACCTTCCCTTCCCACACTTTTCTGTTTGTTTTAATCTAATGAAAATGGCTAATCTAAAGAAAAACTCCTTTCTTGCAGGAGACAAGGAGAAGGCCTTAGGATCTACCGGGGAAGTCCAGAGCAGCAGTCACTATTATCCGGTTGGAACCCGTGGTCCACTGAGGTGCCTTATGCTACCTTCACTGAGCACCCTATGAAATACACCAGTGAGAAGTTTCTCGAAATCTGAAAGGTAGGAGACGGCTTGGGCATCACTCTCCAATTAGCTTTGTTGGTGAAGCTATGTGCTTTTAAACCATGTATTGTTAAAAAAAAAATAAGGTACAACCTGGGATTTATATAGATAAAAACTATAAAAGTTTATAGGACTTTTTCAGTAAACAGTAGAGCTGTTTTATATTTGAAAAAAAATATATAGCAATATTTATAGTAACCATACCACTGCTGTTTCCTCTTTGCTAATCTCTGAGCAAAAATTGTAGTGTAATAGTGTTTTAAAATTGCATTAGTATTGTTTGTCTGTGTTTATTGCTTACAGGGTACATAAAATTTTCTGTGTCTAATTAAATTTGAATTACTTTATTCAAAGAAGGAATGTGGAATAGTGTGAAATATGAAGTCAGATATGGCTCGGTGGTCATGTTTAAGTCACTTTTTTTTTCTGGGACTTGGTAATCTCATCTCTAAAACGGACACAGTGAACAACTGCCCTTCCTCTCAACCTCACTGGGCCATTGTAAGGTTAAATGGGATAAAGCATATATAAATGTTCTGTAAATCGTAAAGCAATTAAGAGTTATTTTTAATGCCTTTAAATTTCATCTCCCCGAGTAAATTTAAAATTCATCAGTGGCAGGGAGGTCCCCTTCTACTATTGTTTCATCTTCCCTAGGGAGATTTAAGCAGTCCTTGGACACTCTAAGTAGTCAGGAAGTAAAACAGCTGGAGCTGTAAATGCAGTGAATGAGCAACCTGTATACTTTCGACAAAACCAGATGTACACATAACAGTGTGCTTACGGCCTAGAAATTCTTGCCTTCTCTGTTCTAAGTTTATCTTTATATGCTGTCATTCACTTCAGAATAGCATAACTTTATTTGCTATAAATTCAAAACATGACAGTCTACATCTAAAGTCCTTCTGTGGTTAGATGGCATACATTGCATTTCTTGCCTTATTTTAAACACATTTATTCATACAAGTGAATATGTATATGTATAAACAAATATTTTTAATTGGTAAGTTCCCTATTTTATGAAAAAGGATCTGAGGCAAAATGTATGTGGTTAGAGGCTAGATGGGGCCTCCATTCCCCCTAACATGTAGGTGAAGTTGGCTTGAATCCAATTCTGCTCTCAGCAAAGCTCAGTTATCCTCTCAAGATTTATGCAGATGTCCTCAGGGGCTTCTGGTCTCCAGGTTTGCCTCTGACACCAAGCTCTTGCAGGCGCTAAATTCGTTATGTGTATGGATCGTTTTGCTAGTCTCCCTGTTATACTCCTAGTTCACAATACCTCAACCCAGGCATCAACATCAGCCCCTAGCCTGACTCTTAACCACCCAAAATCAACAATAACAAAAAACCAAAATGAAAACCAGAAAGAACATAACACTGACACAAAGGCATTTATGTGAGAGTAGACTCACTGAGGACTTCTGGGAGATAGAGTGGGAGTTTACATCACAATAATGCCCCAAAATTCAAATGGAATATCTGTTCTCCTTATTGTTAAAAGACCTTATTAATAATAATGCTCAGATACGTCACTTCATAATCTCCTCTCCTTTTCTCTCTATCCTGCTCTTGTTCTTCCCCAAACTCCTGTTCTTTTTCTCTTTCTTATTAAAAGTGCAGTCATTTATCTGTTTGTTTGTTTTTTTAACACTTGTTAATCCAACTGAAAGAACTTAATAATGTATGTTTCCAAAGCTATTTCCTGCCTTTAAAGGAAAACTGGTTCTAATAATTAATTTAATATATATTTTGAAGTAGTAGTAATTCTTTTTATTTTAAGTCAAAAATAAATACCAACTGCCTGGGTTATTATGTCCATCACTTCCTGGGCAAAGTCTTCTCTTATTTCTCGTATCTGGTGTGTTTAAAGCACTTGTTCTCTCAGTGTCCTTTGCTGGAAGAAATTCAGGATAAAGGGTTAAAAAAGAAATTGTATGAACTACAGAGATATGCCACTGCATTACTCTAATACTTGATAGTGCTTTATTGTTTTTCTGCCATAGAGAAATAAAATTAAATAATTTAAAAGGAAGCTAAAAAATAAAATATCAAAAGGGGAATGGAAAAAAAGGGGGAATGGAATAACTGTTCCCCAAATGCCCATGAACACAATTAGCAGACTGGAGCATTAAGTTTTGCCCAAGACTTCCTATCAGCCAAGGCTAAAGGGGAAACTTGATGTTCATATAGCTCTCCTTGGATGGAAGAAAGAACAACAGGTGTGTGTGTGTGTGTGTGTGTGTGTGTGTGTGTGTGTGTGTGTGCACATGCATGCATGGGTATGAGCACCATGAGTGGTTGGTTAGTTAGTTGGTTGGTTTCCAGTCAATCAAACTACTTTTTGAATCTGTTAAGTGTATTTTCTTTAAGGCTTTTCTCATTAAATTATTGTTTTAAAGTCTTTATTTCGTTCCTGAAAACAGTCTGGAACTTTTATTTGCCAAGCCATTTCTCAGTTAAAGGCCACCCCGAGTCCCAGCTCCCTAAGAAAACAAGTGATCTCAGTCTGGGATATGAGATGATGACTACTCTGATCCAGTTCTTTGTGTCTTGGTTTTTCTTTTGCTGTTGGTTTTTATGTCACAAAGTTATTTGTGTTCAGGACATTTTCCAAAATTGGCTTTGATTAATATTCAGTTTTATTAATGTAAAAGTATAAATAAGAAGAACAGTAATTCTGGGGATATAGAATCTTTTGTATGAATATTTTGACATAATAAGATTTTAAAAGGGTGATTTAAACTATTTTTTTCATTTCCCCTATGAATGAAATAGGAAAAAGTAGAAGAACACGGGGGAAATGCATAACTAAATAAAACACTTGAAGCAATTTAATTCAATTTAGCAAACCTATTATGGCAGGGGAGAGGGAATCATGTACAGCTGAGATATCCACAGTCAAAAATTTCAAATTATTTACAATCTAATTGAATAACTTATTTTTAAAAGTACTTTTATAAAATTCTTTTTTTTTTTTGTTTTTACTCAGAGTCTTTTCTTCTACAGAACTTGGACTCTCTCTATTTAACAAATGTTTTCTGGTACCTAAAATGTGCAGCTATTCTGATTGTTGTTAAGAATACAAACATAAATGAGACAAGATTCTTCCCTTTGTGGAAGGCATTGCTTAACAGAGGACGCAGATAAAAATGCAAAGATTTTTAAATAAGTGCTAAAGAACTGAAACAGAGTTTGGATCAGATGAAGAGAATTGGAGATAGTTGAAGGTACATGGAATACCTTAGAGACAGACAGTTTAGTTGGAGTTTAATCTTGCATATTTCCCACCATAATTGTATTGGCTCAGATGATAGCTATAAGGACCTAAACTAAGTTAGGAGTGCTAGGAATGGAGAGAAGATGAATAGATTTTGAGATATTCAGGGTATCAATGGAAGACGGTAACTGGCATGATATGGTAGGTGAAGGAGAGGAAGAAATCAAAGATGACATGGTCTGGTTTGGGTAGGTGATGAGCCCATTAATTTGAATGAGGAAAACTGAAAAAAGAGTAGGTTTAAAGGTTCAGTTGAAGAAATGCTGAGTTTGAAAGGTCCATGGAATGTGGGGTTGAGTTGGTTGCCAGGCAGTTAGAAATTTAGGTCTGTCCGAAGCTCAGGAGAGAAAGTTGAGCTGTTTATATAGGTTTCATACCACACAACACCGGGTCGAAGCTGAGTGATGGGGTTGATTGGTCTGAAAAGTACCTGAGGAAGAGGAATTAATGGAAAAAATTGCATTCAAATTCAAATTTATACTAAGTCCTTCAGCACTGATATAAAAAAAATCACTGTCAAATTTATGAAATACTAGGTCAAAATACATTACTTCTTTTACCCATCTCACTAACTATATCACTTCTACTTCCGGTAAGTGTGATGGTCAAATGGCTTCTTTCCAGACATTCTTGCTTATCTCCAAGTCTTACCAACTTTTTTCAACTTGTGCATGCACATACTTTGCATTACTCATATAAAACAGTTGTGAAAATAGGAAATAATATTTTTGGTATTGATTTTATATTATAAGACATAAAATGATCTCATCAGTTATGTAATTACACTTTATATTTATTGATTACAATTTGCACGTGTTCATGTAATTCAAGTAACAAAAACCCTTTGAGGGCAGGATGCTATCTCCACTTTAAAAGTGAAGGTACTTAGAGTGACTAAGTGAATTGACTGAGGTATTGTAATAATAACTATTTCCACATGCAAACAATTTGCAAATGATCAGGGAAATAGTTAAAAACCAGAAAGAACTCTGTGTGTGTGTGTGTGTGTGTTTATAGTCATTGCTATGCTATAATATGATATGATACTTTACAGCCAAGGTTAATTATTCTCAATTGTTTCATCCACTTTATATCTGCAACTTTTAGCATTATCTTTCCTCTTTTAACCATTTGTAACAGAATCAGTTTTGTTTGCCCAATGGGCAGCAAGCCAAACGCTTAGGCGCCGAGGTTTTCAGCAGAGAAAGGGTTTATTCACAAGGCAGCCAAGCAAGGAGATGGATGAACAGATCTCAAGTCAGCCTCCACAAAGACAAGGGGCTTGGGATATTTATAGGATAAAGAAACAGGGTGGTCTGAGGCATGGGGAAAGGTGATTGGAGGCAAGAAAACCCTGAGGTAATCTGTGTTCTGTGTAGGCGTATCGGAGTTACATTCTTCTTCTTAGGGTGCTTATTCAGGAAATGATGCTGTTGGTATAATCTGAGGGTGGAGTTTTTGGCCTTCTGACATCAAAAGGTCTTCCTCTGGACACTTACACAGTGGAACGGTCGGTGGTCTCGACCAATTTGAACTGGACAAGACTAGCTCCATGTTCCTGAAAAACGACTCAAGCCACCATTTCTCTGGCCACCCATAAGTTAGAGGTGTTATCTATAGGGGGCAGTTAAAGGAATCTTGCGATATATTCTCTAGCCTACATGAAGCTTGGAGGGCATGCAATTTGCAGGAACAATTAAAGAGAGCTTAGTCAATGAAG